AGGGGCCTCTAGTAGCGATCTTGCTCCTAGTAGCGATGCTCTTTATTTCTAGTAGTTTCTTGTTCTTATATCGCAAGGCAAACTGGTGAAAAGTGATGGGCCGGGCACCTGTCCTTCAAAGCCCTCAGTTTTTACTGTATGAACTGAGACATGCCCGTTGAGATCGATTCCAGAAAACACATCAAGAACACAGTGTGTTAGACGCTGCAACCTTGCTTTGCCCTATTCCTGGAACCAGACGACTGGGGCAGAGGGCCTAATGGACCGTGGGCTTAGACCTCAAAAGACTCCAGGCAAGGAAACAGTTTTGCTCCTTCATGTGCAGTTTTTGTGTTGGGGTAGAACTGACGAACGTGCTTGACAAGATACTGGGCAAACAAAATGCTACTAGCAACAAGGCTAGAAACTACGAGTAGCACTAGTAACTTCTACCTACATTACTGTTTTTTGCATCCTTAGGGCTACTTCTTCGGTACGGTGCCTGGGAGCGCGAGCCGCCTGGATGTCGCAGCGAGCTACTGAAGAAGGCCCCGGATGCAACTGATGCAACACGATTCATTCTGTCCATCTGAATGCAGCACTGCCAGCAACTACTACTTATTGACTACATCTAGCTGCGGGTCTTGACCTACTTGGGCTGGTGTGCCCCTTCCTGAAGAATTCCCAGCTGGCGTTGTGTTCAAAGGTGCGGATGCAGGGTCGGCAGATGATTGCAGTCTTCGCGGCAGAAGGCCAGTGGTGTTTACATCGTAGTTTTGCACCCCTGCAATCGCATGCAATGCTAGCCTTCAGTTTGGGATTTGAGTGCTGAGTTCTTACAGAAATGGTGTCTCATTACAGGATCGTGCTGTAAAAACGCTACTAGTGGCTCCTGGCCTTACTACTAGTAACCGCCCTAGGAATCGCTACTAGGAGCAAGGACGCTACTAGGGGCGCTGTAAATCCTGAACCAATCAGGCCATCTCGCTACTATGGTTCGACCTACTCAGGCCATTTTGATACACGAAAGGTGTTCCAAGTAGCACCGAATAGGCAAGTCCAAAGCCTTTAGACCCTCCTTTCCCTTCTCTTGACCTAGTAGCGATGGCCTCCAACCTATTTTTTTATCTTTTTGTCCTGAACACTTTTTTTGGGGGGGACTGGCAGAACCATAAGATGTTTTGGCAATGCCTTTCCCTTTGTCAAGCAAGGTGTTGGCTTTTGAATTGCTGTTCGGTGCCATCAGCGCGCTCTGTGCAGATTGAGTGAGCACAGATTGAACAGGCCTGTGAAACAGGACTGTACTTTTTGTTCAATTTTTAAACATATTGATCCCCAAAGGGACTTAGTTGCACAATGGACCCAAAGTGGCTTTACCACATGGCAACCAAATTTTTGCAGCCATTGAGAACGGCTGGGTATGCGCCCTGAATGATCGCCAACGTTGCAACAGAACTGCTTTTCTTGCTACTTGGCATCGGTCTTGTGCTTTACACATCCGGGGGCTACAGATAGTATGAACCACATACGAACGCCCACCTGTTTGCTTTGGCTGAAGCAATTCAGAGCGAACGGACGGTGAAGCCGAAGGTTCTGTTCACTTGAAGCGAAAGGCGTTGGCTGAGAAAAGTGACCTTGGCCTCCAACCTACTAGCAAACTAGAGTAGCAAAGAAGCTACTAGGAACAAAGGGCATCGCTACTAGGAGCAAGGACGCTACTAGGGGCTCCTGGCCTTA